TCAATCAGAAAATTTCTCCGGATACAAGCCGCTTGAAATGTTGCAAATCACGTATTTGAAAGTTGCAAAATCAACTCTTCAACTAAAATGCGTTCGTATGTGCAAAATCCATCACATATAGAATCCAGAATCATCATATAATTCATCATACAAAATCCATCAGAATCCATCATACAGAATCCAGTGTAAAACGGCTTTTCTCATCTGCCAAAATGACTCACTCAATTCCGTCAATTCTTCACAATGAAAATGAGACTCACTTTAATAACTCGAAGTAATTGTAGAAACTGAGGACGTGAGATTAACAAATTTGTTCGATCACGCACAGACGACCCGTCATTCCGTCGCTTACTGAAACTGAATTCTTATTGGATCAATTCATCGTGAAATTTCACAATCACGACTGAAAACCGTCGGAAAACCGACGATTGAAGATACAATCGAAACAATAATTTTCCGATCAAACGCGATTGCGAATGAAAAAATGATCCCAATTTACTGCTAGCAAAAAAAACTTCACCTAACATAATGAGTCGAATTTCATTAACTAGATGATGCTTTCTACAATAACGAAAATTTCTGAAACAATTGAAAATACCCAGATGGATCCTCGAATGTCACATGCATTATCTTCCACCACGCTTCATCAGCTACTTTTTTGCGCATCACTGGATCACCGGTCATGTACGCTGCGAGCACTTTGGCAATATCCAGGAAAGGGCTTTTTAATCTGAAATTTTGTTTATACGGTTGAAAAGGCAATTACTATAATATACGGTTAAAATAAAGAATGTAATATGAAGCGATCAGATAGAGAGATAGATATGCATCTTACTTCGGTGAAGACTTCAGAATGAAATCCCATTCGGCCGTATTGATCAAGAAGGCGACTATTTGAAGCAACATCGAGATCACTGTTTCCAGCGAACTCGATGGCATTGTGGCTGAGGTTTGTACAAGACCTTGCACGATGTTCTGCAGATTCTTGGTGGCATTCAAGAACGCACCCGCCTCGGATGGTGCACTCGGGAAATTTCGAATCCATTTATCTAACTGAAATATTCGATTCATGCACAATACTCAGCGCAAATGTATCTCGACTGGTCCAAACCCAAAAAAGTTTTGTGATAAGAGAAAAACGAAAAATAAACTCTAATAAAACTGCCACAACCCAAACAGTTCAGCAATTCAAAGTATCAATTGTGAATCTCAAACCTTCACACGAACCGCATCGTACGTGAATCTCATCTGAACGTCTTGATTCCGTCCAATCGCACCCAGTTCCTTCACACAGTCATTTCCAAATTCAGTCCATTGCGTTGCGTCCACAAACTGAAATTCATTGCAAACATTTGAGTGTTGCGAAAACAAAAATCATTCATAAGATTCTCAATATTTTTACATATAGTAGTGGTATTATCAGTCTTACTACTTCTTCCACCACCACTTCATTGGTTGCTTTCATTCGAACTTAACCAAAATATTTCTTTGAATCATTCAAAAAACTCAACCAAATGAAATTTCTTCAAAAAACTTAACCAATGATACAATCAATCATTCAAAAACTCTTAACCAAAAAATGTTACTTTCTTTCCAATTGCTTACTAAACGACCGGAAACGAACAATTGTTCATGCAAACTCACGCCAATTTTCGCTAAAGCTTCCAATTTGCCCAACAACATCGCAATATACTCATAACATTGTTGACCAGCAATTGCTGGAAGCAACACTTCACCGATCATTTTCGACGGTTGATACTGAAACAAAAAACGAGAAACGATCATCTCACCTGTGAATGAATCAAATCAACGCATAGATCGCGATCATATCTGCACGATCTGAGAGAATATTATTTGCTTTCAGCGAACATCCAGCAATTACAATTTACAATCGCACAAATGAAATATTTTTTCGAAAGGCTTCAAAACTTCAAAGAGTTTCGCATTTTTAACTCAATGCTGCTAGTCTCAACAATGACCAAAAGAAACCATCAAAAATTGACGATTTGCACAAAATCAAAACGAAAATCAAAGCGAAACGAACGTGCACTTACCCAATATGGAAGTTTGAATTTTGCGCCAAGCTGTGCGAATAACGGTTTAATTTCATTCACATCGTAACTGAGCAACAATCTCCAATACGCTGGACCACCACTCAGAATATCTAGAGTGAACGCAAAAAAAAAACTTATATGAATATATAGAAACAAGGAATGAACCTATTCAAGGACAAAAACAAAATAAAGTAATACAACAACAAGAATAATCGTAAGAACCTTTGAAAACAGACTGATCCGGCAGTGGGTCTACGGGTGGAAACTGTACCGATTCTGCACTTAAGAATGTCAAAGCACGACCAGTCGCCTTTTCTATCTGCAAATTTTACAATTTACCAACTGCCTATCAAACATATCAAAGAATCTAGAAAATGCTTCAAAATTCAGTAATTTCATTTTTCAACGGATAATCCTAAAGTACAACATACGAGAAATAGGCCAATAGTTATGAAGTTTGTTCCAAACGGGTGGTGGGAGTAAAACTCCAACAACCGCTAACATAAAACGACGATCGCAAGATGCAGCAATGCAATAAGCATCAACTAAAATTCTCATATTGCAATATTTTCTAATCAGAGAGTCCTTTTGAACACTTTAAAAGCTTATCAATTCAAAACCAAAGCAACAATCAAATGGAAACAACGAAAACAATCCGTACCTTCGCCAATTCCATTGCAAAAAGAGGATCCAAAAATGCGAACAGTTGAATGAACACACCAAGCTGCATACGTTCACTTTCTCGTGTTCGAATGTTGCTCATTCTACGCAACAATATCTGCAAATAATTCAGTTTACACGAACACTCATTTAATCAAGCTTTCAGATGCAGAATCACACAATAAAAAATGCTAATCGTAAGCAAAAAAAATATTGCTCTTAATACAAACTAAATTCGAAATTAAGCTAAAAATGCAAGCGCAAACCTCAATGAATTTCCTCACAGACGTCTCGTTTGCACAAATCACTCGACGCTCTTCGGGCATAATCAACGAACCATAGGCCATTTCTTCACGTTTCGTTTCGATCAAAAAATCCAACGACAATTTTGGTGACATCTTCGGCGCAAACAGCGAATCGAACGCCAACATCGTACAATCCGATTCGCCGAGCTTTTTGATCCACTGAAAAAAAGCTTTTTTTGAAAAACGGTCTTTTAGAAATAAAACAAAAATAAACAATCAATAGAAATAAAACAATCCAATCTGAAGCTGTGCTTCAATGCTTTTTTTCTATTTTTTTCCAATTCTCCATCTAATTCCCTCGCACCAATTTCAAACAAAAATCTTTTGCGCGATTATATCGCACAGAAAAAATGGAACAATCAAATGAATCCAATTCAAAAAGCGCCCTTCCAAAGTAACGATATTATCGCAAAGAATACAATTTGTCTCCAATAAAAAATCGCTCCAGCGAAAGAAAAAACTTCTGAATGAAAACAAAAGAGGATTATTGATAGTAATCCTAAAATACCTCATCATCGTATTCGGATGCCATGAAAATTTCCTGCTCTCTGTTCGCGGCTGTTAGTTGTATACCTTCTGGTGGAGTCATTTCGAATGCGATACAATAACCGCCGATTTCTTGCGGATTTATGTACGTCATACGATCGGCCATCGAGTTCTGCGTGCCAAACCCTTCACTTCGACGAGGCCAATCCGCGACTATCTGACGTGTTTTTCGCGTATGAATTCACTCAAACAGTAATTCTCTTTCATGCAATTGCCCACGCGTTCTCAACTCATTTTTCATTCACTCAGTTCATTTTCCAGTGTTCGCAACAAATCAATCGTTGCAAAGTCCTTTAAAAGACAATTTGCAACAATTCGCAAACATTACGCTTTGATCGAGATTTTAGATAATTTTCAATCACATAGCAGCAAAATATAGAACATACCTGAACGAGTAGATTTTCAGCTTTTGAAAGATTGTTGTACGCGAAATGATAGCAAAGTAATGTGTGATTTGTCTGAAATTTTGGAAAATATTAGATCGTTAAGAAACTATTATTAGAACAAAAACAATTAAGCGACACTTATCATCATTATCATTAAACGACTGCGCAAACCTAATCTAATCATCCAGGCGAAAAATTTTCGTAACCCATGAATTTCGCTGATTATGTCAAGCAAGCGCATAACTGCTAATCAGAAGATAACATGAAAGTGACCATAGAAAGATTAGTTTTAGTGGATTTTATTTGTGTCGTTTTGAGATTCAAAATCTCAAAACGACACAAAATTCAAATCCATGCACAACAATAATCAGAACCGACCAGAATTCTCCAATCAACTTTATTAAGGACGACGAGAGGAGTTTCAAAATTCGGTTTTGGTATGACATTCGGATCAATCGCCGACACGCTCGCCAAATCTTGCGTTTCTTCTTCAAATTCCTAAACCAATCACGGTGATAATGAAAACAACAAATTATGATTACCCTCATCATCCTCATTACTCGACAATACCAACCAGATCAATATAATGACCTTTCGCAATTTAGTGAAATTTCAAAATAAAATCCTCAAAACGATAATATTTCCAAGTATCCAACTTCACTTCGAAGGAATCGCTCGGTGAACGAATGAGTAACCTTAAAAATATCGCCCAAAAATGCATCCATCTGCGGCACATTAAATTCTCTGATTGAATCCAGCGCCAAAAGTTGCTCCAACAAGTCGACTGCATCTTTCGATTTTTGGCGATGCTTAAAAAACGAATCCGAGGTCAGCATTCCACAAACTGTTCTATTTTCTACTCCCAAATCATTTTGCTGACTAAAATGTATGCAGCGAAACACGTTTTCACAATAGCAAAAACGATTCAAAAATATTTTCTGAGGATGAATTTCTCTACATTTCTCCCAAAAGTTAAATTTTGCTTGCAGTTCTCTAATGAACATAAGAAACGAATGGAAAACAATAAAGCACCAACAATTATTTTAAACGATATTATAAACTATAGCGAATTATACTACTAAATAAAAACGAACCTCAATCACACAATTCCTGATTTGCTCTGCAGACTGCAGTCTCGCATCGTATGTTGCTGCCCTCAAAAATGAACACACAAATTTCACAAAAAATACATCTATTTCAAATACATTTCACAAAAAAAATTCACAATACACCTATTTACAACATTCGCAATATACCGAAATATCGAAAATTTTTGATAAAAACTCCACGCAACCATAATAAAAGTAACAATTACAACATCACTGCTCACAAACAAATGCTAACAATAACTATCAATATTCACAAATATCAGTGTCGAATGGAAAACAGAAGAAGACGAAGAAGAAAACGAATCAAATATCGCAAAAAAGTGCGAAAGAAAAAACCAAAACTTACGGATTACTAACCGACGGTTTCGCGACCACTTCCGGAAATTGACCGTCCACGTCCATTTTCAGAATCCACATTGCGTAAAACCACGCAGCAAACAAACGCTCAGGCTTGTTCAGCCTTGAAGCAATCTCTTGGAATCGATCGAACACCACCACACCCGCATCATCGTTTATACCCTAAACCAATTCAGTCTCAAATAAACTCCACGAACTGTCCATTTTGACAGAATAATTTCACGAAAGTCGTCAAATCCTCCAAATATGGATACGGAGGCAAACATATACAAGAAAATATCTTCAACAGTTGCAATTTTAAAAACAATTTTAGAGAGCGATTCATCGATTTTCGCTTGTCTAAATGTATAAATTTTTTGTTAGTATGATAGAAATCGTATCTATCAAACATTATCTATTATCTAATTTATCGTATTATCTAATTTGCGTTATCTAATGTGTATTATCTAAATAAACATTATCGCATTATCTATTCCAACTGCATTGAATGAAACGCATATTGCAGATAGGTTCCCTGCTCGAAAATGGTTTAACTTCAAGAAAATTAACTGTCTACGTGTGCAAGTTTCACCGACGAAAGCTTAAGAAGAATGCAAAAACGATTCGTTGAAAAAAAAAGAAGAAATCAATTTTATTGAAAATATTAAACTGAGTACGGACAAGATTTCGTTCCGGGAAACAGAAGTGAATAAGTCGATTGAATAGAGCTTTGAGTTGAAGCGCATTGCAACTGAAAAACAAAATTATACACAAATGAAGATTATGAAATGGAACTAAAATATATATTCTAGAGAGGATGTTCGATGCGATCGAATTCCATATATTTTTTCGCAAATATTCTTCTTGATGAATGAACAATTTTGAAGGATTTTTAATGAAATTTTGCAAAACTAAAATTGTTCACCTCTCTTTCAGATGTTCTAAATTCCAGTCAATTGATGCGAAAGATGCCAAAGCGCACATCCACAGTTTGGCCGATTTACAGCGTCTGTAAACGAGATCACCTGGAATCGAGGAAATAGATCAACATGAACAGGTGGTAGTCAGTGAACATTAAGCAAATATTTTGAAACATCGACAGATCAGTAAACTTCACGAATATGTGAGTAAATTTACCAGAATGAACAGTACAAACTCAAAATTTTAACTCCAAATGAAACGAAACGAAATCTAATCGTGCTCGAAAAATCTTTAAGAATTCATGCATCAGTGACCTTCATCAGGCGGCGGACTTTCATTCAACATTTCCAGCTCTTTATCGGCCACCTGAGCTTGTTCAATGAACTGCACTATCAGTTGAGCAATCGCTTTCACGTCTGTAAATTTGCAATCGTCGTCGTCGTCATTTTCTTAAGAACTCATAAACACGCGAATCAATCAATTACCGACTGAATATGTATAAATTCAGACTGAATCACCTCACAAGAAACAGTTGAAAGAAATCGGAATGTGCTCAAAAAGAAAACAGAATTCACAAGAATGCACTCAATATCTATAAAAAATTACCACGTTGTTCGGCTCTGATCAAACCCAAAAATCG